GGTTGAAAGGTGTCACACTTTAAGAAAGAAATGTGACACCAAGCTTGAAATGTGGGGCCTACCTAAAAGTTAAGGATAACATTTATAGTTCAAAAATATTTTCTAATCTCTTAAGAAAGAGTTTCAACCAAGCTTTCCTTACATAGTAACGTTATTTCTAAGAGTTTCAACCAAGCTTTCCTTACATAGTAATGTTATTTCTAATAGCTTCACCCAAGCTTTTCTTACATAGTAACGTTATTTCTCATCTCTTAAGAAAGAGTTTCAACCAAGCTTTCCTTACATAGTAACGTTATTTCTCATCTCTTAAGAAAGAGTTTCAGCAAAGATGATTTTGCAATAACAACGTTATTGCTTCGAGCATTTCATACGAATTGTTCCTTATTTCGATCTCGCTATTACGTGTTTCGTCGCGATTGGCGTGTGTTAGAAGGATTTTCAAGAGGATCGGCTTAGGTATGTTAAGGCTATCCCTTCTTTCCTTTTGGCATGATCTATACGATACAAACGAAACGAGCAAATGCACAACTTCCATAAATTACTCTATTCATAGAAATGCTAGAGATGCTTATGTTCTTGATTCCCCATATGTCTTATTATTCTATCTCCTGTTCATGGGTCTCAGAAAATACGTAAGTTCATAAAATTTATTTCATAATATTAATCAGAGGCATAATGGTCTTATGACAATTCAGAGTGATTTTATTGATGTATTTCTTATGCATTGCATTCATGTACATTGACCCATGACCAGATGGCGTTATATACGCGTATATATGTATATGGAATATGGGAAAAAGTTACGGCGTTATATACGCACCACCACCTAATCAGCTGGTGTATGTAAATGTTGATGATTTTGCCCACAGTGGCCGAGATGATATGATGGGATGCCCTCAAAGGCTTGATAATGTTATGTACACCTATACCTATGCATGACATGACATTTATATGCACGTGCATGACATTATAAATGCTTCAGGATTTACATAGTGATTTAGACTTACAGGTGGAATTCCTTATTCTATGTTTCATCTATGTCTTTTATGTACTGATTTTCATGCCTTACATACTCAGTACACTATTCGTTTTGATGCCCTATTTCTCGGGGCCTGTATTTCATGCCCGTAGGTGCAGGTAGACAAGCTGACGGTCCCCCTCCTTAGGATCCTTGATCAGCGAGAATTGGTGTGCTCCATTTTATCGTGGTATGATATGTTTGTATACATATATAGGTATGACGGGGCCCAGTCCCATCCTTGTATAGTTGTATATTCTAATAGAGGTTTATAGACAGTTATGTGTAGTTAGATAGTATGTGGCCTTGTCGGCTTCCAGTTTTGGGGTATATAGTTGTCTATAGCAGCCTTGCCAGCTCGCCCCACTGTATTCCGCATGTATATGTATATATGTATTTTGGACAGGTTTCCCTCACGTATGTTATTCATGTTTATATCTTAGACGCATGCTTAAGGGTATTCGACAAGTAGGACTCGTGCACCCGTCGCAGACCATCGGTTTGGGTCGTGATATCACCCCAATGTATACGGGTGGAGGTGTATTCACAATACCACAACTATACATAAAGCGGTCACGCCGCCTGACCCCAACATATGCGGGTGGAGGTGTAATCACAATATCACAACTCTACACAAAACGGCTCTGCCGCCCCCCAACGTATATGGGTGGAGGTGTAACCACCATGCCACAGCTCGAGTTCCCAAAATGATAATAATATGTACAAAAGAATTCCCTTCTAATCAACTGTTTGGCACCTTTGGCCTTAGCAAGTGTAAATTCATAAAGTTTCATCATATGAGAAATAAGTGTTTAATCACATTGATTTCATACAAGATCTTATTCCCAAAGGGTATAACATGTTTAAGTCAAAAATAGAGAATCATTAACACACAAGGGTTCTAACACGTTATGCCAATCGGGCATTAATTCTACTAGTTTGAATACTCCACATCAATAGCGTTCCATGTCCGAAATTTAAACGATGGAGTTTTGTAAGAACAGAGGAATTCCAATACCAGAAAAAAGAGTTTAGCCTTCATACCTCGCTTTGAGACTTCCTTAATTCACTACACAGTTTCGAAAATCCTAGCAACTTTGATCTATTTAGAGAGATAGAAAAATTGAACACAAATTAGGAAGATATTCATGGTTTCAGCTCATTGGAGCATTTTATCAAACACTAGGTGCGCAAATTTGATTACAAGGTTCTTCCACAAGATTTCCTTCACTCCACAATTAATTCAACACCAATAGTTTACTCATACTAGTTCAATTACCTCCCCACCATCCTCATAGCTACATGCATGCATAAATAACAACTCTCATACCCAAAAATCATACTCCCAATTACCCATCTTCTACCCAAACTCAAAATTGAAGACTAGGGTTAGAACATTACCTCTTAGATGAAGACCTTGTGAGTTTTTCTTGTGAATTCTCCAAGTTTTGAACAAGGATTGATGTAAAATTAGCCTAGGGTTTCCCCTCTCTTTAGAACACTCTCAATTCTCTCTAAAATATCAGTTTTTTGCTTCAAAAGAGTCCCTTTACTTCAATATATTAAAATAGGGTCGGGTCAAAAATTAGAAAAAAAAGAAGCCCCGATGCAGATCTGCGGTCGCATATGCGACCGCATAATGCTTCTGCTGTCCGCAAAATGGACCGCACAATGGCCCTCTGGAACTGGGCAATTCTGCCCCACTCTGCAACCAGTCTGCGGTCCGCAGACCTATTTTGCAGTTGCATAATGCACCACAGAACCTTCCTCCGAAAAAAATTCATGCTGGATCTGTGATGGGTTATGCGGCCCGCAAAATGATTATGCGGCCGCATAATGGACCTCTAAATGGTGCGAAAATTTGCCCAGATTTCTGCCTGAGTCTGCGGTCCGCAGACCAGTTCTGCGACCACAAAGTGGACCGCAGAAATGCCCTACACTTCCAAAAAGTTTCTTCAACTCCCCAACGCATTATTCAACCCAAAAAGTCCGAACCGCGGACTCGTCAACATATAAGTCTACTTCGGCAC